GTAGTATACAAATGGTTGACGCTTGACGGTCATTTTGCCCAAATGACGTTTTTTGCACTTTTTAGCTATTTTAACGCTTATTTTCATCAGAAAAGTGCCTAAGCTCATCGAATATCAGTATTTTTAAAAAACGACACTTTTTAGGCTGGACGTAGAAGTGTCCATTTTGCCCACTTTCAAACTTTCACTTGTATTTAACATTTTAAGCCATTTTAAGGCTTATTTTCAACAATTTTCAAAAATGGGGAAAGGTGTAGTTTGTAGTTTCTTATAAAAATGATGATTGATAAATGGCGAAGCTAGAAAAAGATCTAAAGCCTTTAACAAATCTAGATCTCATTGAATTAGTTGACTCATTAAGTGAGAGATCGGGGCTTGTGTTGCCCCCGATCTCTTTTGCCGGAGTTTCATTGTCCCTTTGCTCATTCATGATGGAAAAGATTCACTAATAAAAATGGCAAATTAAGTTATAAAATGAAATATTAAATAAAAAGAGATGGCGGCGTCGGGTGGTGGTCTGCGGGTCCGTTGCCGGTCCCCGGTCTTGTCCTGCCGTCGTCGTGGCGGGCTTTTATAGTTGTCGACGGCGGCCCTGAAAGCTTGAAAGTTATAATTGGCTTTCAATAGAGCGTGGGCTCGGGTGAGGGATTGTGTGATCTTGGAGGGCGTCGGGGTCGGCGCCTCCGCGGCTCTTAGCGTCGCGATCGGCTGATCGTCGCGACGGTAAGAGCTGATGTTATCGGTGCGCATCGGAATGTTATCTTAAAAGCCTTTGGGCCGTCTGGAGGACTTTGTCCAGTGTTTCAATGGAGCGGAAATAGCTGCAATGAGCTATGGGCTCCTACAATTAGGAATCAAGAATTTCCGTGGTGTTTACATGCGAGACACTTTACCGGAAATGATACTATCAAGAGAAGTAGGAATTGTAAATTTGGACTTGATTAGATAGATGATTTCGATCCAAATTTATACACTGCTCCACATAATTATATATCCACCTGAGATTTTTCGAAAAATCGAATATTTTGAGAGTTTCTGAAAATCTTTTTGTTGTCAAAAGATGAGAATTTAGATCAGATTAATATAGCTATCAACAAAGTTCCTATTGAAAAATAAATGTTTTTAAAAATTTTAATTTTTCAAAAAAACCGAATTTTCCGTTCCACATAATTATATATCCACCTAAGACTTTAAACTTTTTGAACCATTTTTTCCGGTTTTTTGCATCAGATATAATTTTCTTATCAATTTTGTTTAAAAATAAAAAGAATAAGAGCAGAAAGGTTTTCCAACAAGTTGAGGAACCTTGGATTTGATCAGAAAACGGTCGCGGTGCTGTTTTGTACTCCAGCTCAACAGTCATCAATGTGAGGGTTGAATTTTCATAATCAGGGTAAACTCAGAAGTTTTGAAAAAGTTTATCACAAAAAATATTCTTGAATGGGCGTCAAATTTTGAAAAAAAATTTCAAAAACCGTGAGCGCCTTCGAGAAAGTTATCAGTTTTTTCAACTTGAACTCGCTTTTCTCAGTCATTGAGCGGAGAAATTCTTCATCTACAATGGAACAAGGCTGAGGAGGAAATCAGTAATAGTTTAACTTAGGAAAATCTGACAAAACAAATTTCAAAGCTGAAAAAACTTCAGAGAAACAAGAGTCAAAAAAGGATATTTCGTGATTTCGATTTTGTTGACTTTCTGTTTAATTTTCTTCGCTGAATAAGGATAATTATGGCTTATTCAATGTTTTAAAACAAAAATGTAACTGTAATCTTTAATCTTGAGAAGAAAACAGTAATTTAAAATTCGAAGAAAAAAAAAATTCAGATTCCTATTAATTTGACTTGAAATTTCCTTAGTTATTTACCGATTTCGCTCATTCTTCTTTTCTAGAAGCAGGTTTTTTTGATGAGACCAACTATTCTTGAAGTAAAAAAACGATTTTATCTCAGAAAAAGTTTACAGAAATGGTCCGAAGACATTTTAAGCTTTCTATTTTTGGCAAAACCGCAAAAAAATCATAAATGTTATTGGAAAACTCCCTCTTTTTAATGCAAAAAAATATTTTACTGAAGTTTTTTGAACTTAAATTGTTGCTCACAAGTACAAAGGTACTTATGAGATCGAAATATTCACATCATAATCGATTCAAGAGTAGCTGATGTAATGAAGAGCATCGCGACCGTTTTCTGATTAAATCCGAGGTTCCTCAACTTCTTGGAAAACCTTTTTGCTCTTCTTCTTCTTATTTTTAAACAAAAATTATGAGAAAATGATAACTGATACAAAAAACCGGAAAAAATGGTTCAAAAAGTTTAAAGTCTTAGGTGGATATATAATTATGTGGAACGGAAAAATTCGGTTTTTGAAAAAAATTAAAATTTTTTTAAGAACATTTATTTTTTTATAGGAACTTTGTTGATAGCTATATTGATCTGATCGAAATTCCCATCTTTTTACAACAAAAAGATTTTCAGAAACTCTCAAAATATTCGATTTTTCGAAAAATCTCATGTGAATATATAATTATGTGGAGCAGTGTATTATCAATACATTTATTCACAACATAACTTTAATACCAAGAAATTTTTTAAATTCATCTTTATTTCTGACTAGAACATCAGCAAGATCTTCACCATATTTGCTCTTATATAATACATTCAGTTTCACGAGCTAAAATTTAGTTGTTTAAAAATGAATAAAAAAAGAAATAAAATTTACCAAGTCTTTTTCTCATCTTTAAATTTTTGTAGGAGCTGAGTGATCTTACCTCTGTTTGACTCCTATAAATATATAAATTATAAACTAATATATTTTGTTTTTAATAATAACCTCATAGATTTCGGCTGCAATTTCATCGATATTAATAGTGAACAAGTTATCTCGAACATAGGTGGCCATTTCATTATTGAGGTTCAGCTCCTCATCAACAATGTCGATGAATCTAAAAATAATAATCCAAATAAACAATTCTTTGACTTACCGAAAAACAAAAGGAAGTAAAAATCTCACATCCTCAACAGAAAGGTCATTTTGGGTCCAACCTTTAACGTGGAATCTAAAAACAAGTAAAAATCTCCAAATCAGTGATTATATCTTACTTATAAGCTGCTTCCCACCCAGCAACAATATCTTTAGATTGATTACGATCGGATTTCTTTACGATGAGACGGCACAACTTGTTAAATATTTTATAGCTCCACGGGTTCTCCAAGTGCTTTGGCACAATTTCAATATTGGAGGTTTTTTCAAGCCTTTTAACGTAGTTGATCAATGCCAATTTAGTGGCCTGGAAATAATTTAATAAAGATTAGAAGTCTAAGCAAAAAGTGCTATAACTTTCAATGTATTGAATTACATTAAAATAAATTGAAAAAATATATACCTGGAAAGATTTCTCGGAACATTGTGCAGTATCATTTTCAGCTAAGTAACCTTTGGCTCTTTCTTTCAACATTTGAACCGTATAAATAATAGGCCGTGAATTCCCGTGAATCTAAAATAAAATTGAGTTATTTATGCGAATCACGTGATTATCATAAAAACATTTCGTTACTTTGTTTATTA